TAAGTTCTAGTCAAAATATAATCAGTCAAGCAGTCAACAAATATCAATAACTGGTTATCAGATCTCTCTCTGCTTTGAGAGAGGAAAGAGGTGAAGGTGCTGGACACCTGGAAGGAGACACGGGTCACCTCCACAGGGAAAGCTCAGGGAGCAGAAGTTTGCTGACGTCGCAGTTTGCCTCACATCACTCCTGTTTGCAGCTGTGAGTGGGCAAGCAGAAGCTGGCTGAACTTTAGATTTGGTTTGAGAAGGTTTGGGGGTTTTTTTTCATTTTTTGTTCTGTTTCATTTTAGTTTTTGTTTGATCGGGCCTCTGCAAAGACCATAAATCTGTTTGCAATGATTTATGAACTGCTTTTCCTTTAGTGGTATATATTTATTTTTCACAGGGCTGTTTGGCTTCTTACTAATCAAAAAGGGAGCTCCTAATAAACTGATAGCTTGGGTGCTAGAAGGGAGAGCAACCCCCATCAGACACCTCAACTCCCTCTGCAATATAGTCCTGCTGTGGTGGCCCAGCCCAGACAGCCAGCCCATCAGTCAGCCAGTCAGTCATTTGGTCAGTCAGTCAGCAGGCCATTTATTCATCCAGTCAGTTAGTCAAGTGAGTCAGTCAGTCAGATGGTCAGACAGTCAGTCAGTCAATCAGACAGATATTCAGTTAGTCTGACAGGCAGTCAGACATTTGGTTAGTCCAGTCAGTCAGATGGTCAGACAGCCAATCAGTCAATCAGACATTTGGTCAGGAATTCTATCAGACAGTCCGTCACACTCAGTCAGACTGTTCATCAGACAGTCAGTCAGTTGAACATCCAGGATTATTTATGATTAGTCAAGATGTTGCAATAGCTTAAATCTATTTTCCTCCTTAGGCTTTCAGTATAACTTGAGTGTTTTAAGTATTAAGTAGATCTAGGATGCAAATCAAGTTTCTGATGACCTGGAGTGGACTCTCCCACTTCGGCCACTTGTAGACCAGATTTCAAGATCCTCCAACAATCTTTTCCATAGTCGTTGAGGCTGGACATAACTCCGGCTCATGGACTTTGGAGTCTGAAGACCTGTGCTTGAAACAATGAGAGTCACATAATAGGAGTGTGTATCAGTCAAAGTAGTGCTAGTGTTATAACAGGAAGATCTTGGGTTAGCATAACAGAAGTTTACTTCTTCCTGGGGTGTTGGGTTAGAGATCCAGACTGACAAGAGGTCTGGCCATCTACCCACCAGGAGGGTTGTCCTTGGCATCAACAAGCAGCAGAGGATCTGATGGGATGGCCTACATACTTCCACCCATGTCCCATGGTGAGAACTCAGTCACATGTCCATATGCAACTGTGGGGAGGCTGAGAAACTAGTCTACATGTGGGCCCAGGAGGAATGGGACACATAGTAGGCTTCTAGCTAGTCTCGCCATAGTGCTCAACAAATGTTTGCTGAATGAATGGTTCCAAGCCCCATGCGACAACGTATTGAGCCTCATGACTGTGGTTAAATCTCTAAACTGAAAAATATCTGTAAAAAGGGCATAATACCTTAGAGGGCTTGCTACGGTCTGAATGTTTGTGTCCTACCAAAATCCAACCACCTGTTTTGATCTCTACTCCTATCATTCCTTATGCTAATTAACAAACCTTCTGGCACAGGTTCCAATAAGGATATTTGAAGTGCCAAGTAATCATCCTTGAAGTATTGATTGTTGGTCAGGCT